GCCTGACGCACAGCGCAAAAAGCCGAATGCGGAAATCAAAAATGCAAGCTTCGGAACTGTTTAGTATACTGTAATCCGCGTAGGGGTAATCAGAAAAAAGTAAGTTTATTAAGAAGTTATCCAGATCGTCACCGCACTACTCCAACGTGCAGAGAGACAGATCGCGATGGTAATGTGTTTGAAAACCCATTCTGTTGGAGTGTCTTGAAGTTCGAGCACTGACTTTACCCTTGCTGAGAAAGTGCCCGATGTAAAAACACTAGACTGTTCAAGTCAAAAAAACAGCTGGAAACTTTCATAATTTGTCCAAAAATTTAAAAACTACGGTGTGGGTTTTAACATATTTTTTTTCAGTTCTGCGATACTGCCGGAACGACTATAAAACCACTGGCTTTGATTCGAGGTCCTTGTGGCGACTTCGCTGTGACAGAAAAAATGGCCATCATTGGCAGGGATTCAGAAGTTTTTGAGGTTGTACACAATTTTTGGTTTGTCCTTAGAGAGGAACGGGAGTTCCGTCTTTTTATGATGGGAATGCACCGAAATCAGTTGTGTGATGAGGAAGGATGAAAAAGTTTTGATCAGAGGACAAGAAGTCAAGTAGGCGAGGCGCCAAACGATGATACTGAAGCGCGAACTCGGAGCGCAAGAACACTCGCTGAGAGGTGACAGGCACAGGTGTAGAATGGTGAAGGGAATGCTGCTCTGCGTAAAACTCCACTCTTCAAGACCGCTTGGACTATCAGTGTTGAGTCGTATTTGTTACTAACATGCAGTCACACGCCTAGTCTACAGAGTGCCAAATGCATGCGAGACTTTAATGACCACCTTGCAGTGCTCTCTCCGTTTCCTTATCTTCTTACTGGTTGTGTGAATGATTGTTTTCAGCCGTATACCTACCGCCGTTGCAGGCCAAATAGGTGGTAGCGTGTACTGAATACCAGCAGTGAAAGCTGTGCCCCGGACCAGATTAATGTCACACATGGGCGGGAAATATCTCCGTTAAATTTCAGTTTTCAG